GGGATGGGATGGCATGGGATGGCATGGGATGGCATGGCATGGCATGGCATGGCATGGCATGGCATGGCATGGGATCCATGGGATGGGATGGGATCCATGGGATGGGATGGGATCCATGGGATGGGATGGGATGGGATCCATGGGATGGGATCCATGGGATGGGATGGGATCCATGGGATGGGATGGGATGGGATCCATGGGATGGGATCCATGGGATGGGATGGATGGAACTGTCCCAGCCCTACCTGGATGGTGACGATGCGGGGCAGCGGCTGCCGCGTGTTGGCGCCGCCCTCGATGGCGATGCCCAGGGTGGGAGCGCTCTTGGACACCCGGATCAGACACGACGTGGGCTCCAGGAGCCCTGGCTGTGGGGACAGATGGCAGTGCTACTGAGGGAGCCCGGACACCGTGTGCCAGCTGTGCCCCCTCGGCCAAGGCCCCACGGCAGGCAGGGACTGCCACTGCAGAGGGACAGACACAGCCTGCAGCTGCTTTCCCACTCCTGGCACCCGAAACGCCAAGCCTGGGCAGATCTGGAAGGGTTTGGGGAGGAGCAGAGCAGCTCCTTGCCTGCCTGCCTGTGCCAGCACCATCCCAAACGCTCCAAATTATGTCTGATACCCACTGCTGCTTCCCTTTTGGGCAACAGGTGACTTCACTCGTGTGGGTGTCCCTTTAGAGGTAGTACTCTGCCATACCCCATGCCTGCTGCAGCTGGGAGGGACGGGATTTACCCAGAATGGAGTGAATCAGCCCTACAGCACCCCTCCCAGTCGCTCCTGACCCATTTCCCCACAACTCATCCCTGCAGAGACCTGACGGGGCCCATTAAAGAGGATCAATACCCCAGGTGTCTGCTGCCGTGGGCACAGGGAGAGGAGAGGGCTGGCCAAGGCAGTGGGCACAGGGAGAGGAGCAGGCTGGCCAAGGCAGTGGGCACAGGGAGAGGAATAGGCTGGCCAAGGCAGTGGGCACAGCCCCGGGTGTCCCCTCCCAAGCAAAGCAGCACCCCCGGACCCCTCACCGGCTTGGAGGCCCCTTCCGCCGCCCCCTCGCTCCTCGTGGCCTCCTTGGGGCTCCGGCTTTTCCCGGGGCCCGGCTGCCGGCTCTTGTCCTTGCCGCTCGTCTCGACCTCCCCGATGTCCACCCCGCTGTCCTCGCTGAGGGTCTGCCCGCTGTCCGACAGCTGGGAGAGCGTGGAGGCTGGGGAGAGAYGCGGCGTTAGCGGGGCCAGCGCCGGGGCTGGGGATGGCCGAGCACCCACGGGCCACGGAGCGAGGGCAGCACCCGCTCCCGGGGCTGGGCATCACCCTGGGAGTCACAGCGGGGCTGCAGGGCAAGGGTCCAAC